AACGACTTAAAAATGAAGAAGTTACCATATGGTATGTAGTTGGTAAAAAAAAAGTTTCTCAAAATATATTGAAAATTGATTTCATTTTGTAGACTCGTTCCATCTGTGCAAAAAAAAAAAAATTGAAATCCGAGTTAGAACGAAGAATATAAGAGCCGATTAAGAAAACTATGGAAAATAAAATACATTTAATTGACAACGTTTAGATCTGGATTTTCTGGACCCGCTTAGATCTAAAGTCCTGATTTAGTTACTCATAGGACCCTATCCTAAGTCGTTGGGTACCAACCAAATTATAATCATTTGGGCTCTAGTTCACCCGTTGCTGGCAAATCTAACGCACGTTTGCCTTCTTTTGGGTCATCGAATATCCCATTATTAATGCACTGATCTGCAATAATATTTTATTTCTACAACAATGATTCAAAATGATTTTCAGTCCAATTTATAATTGGGTAAATATTAAATAGTAGTGTAATGAATTTTACTTTTTATATGACGAAATAGACATCTCTATCTAGATCTATCTATCTACATCTATCTATATCTATCTATCTATCTACACATTCATATAAGGGGATTCTATCCGAGAGATGGGTTAAAACATAAATTGGAGGCACTAGCGCATCCCATGGAAGGCTAGAGAGGTATTTCTACTTATTACTTTTGCAATTGACGTTGAGGCATGACTGCATGAGGGAGATAAAATCCCATTATTAAGTTGGGTTTCATTTATAAATCATACCAGGTTGTGGTCGAATGAATTTTTTTAAACATTGAACTCTGCCGTGGATTTGTCCCGATCGTAAAATTGGAGATACCACGTAAAAGATCGTGTCTCGGTCTCAATACTTGATTATTTTTCTCGTGGTATCAGAGCGACTTGTTAAGCAGTAACGTTGTCTTCCAGCGGCCATGGTGAACCAGACACCCCATCAAGTTTAATTCCCTTTGAGTATAGATAACCGAGAACATCACCTTCACTGTTGGCCAAATTGAAGGCTAGTTCCTCCATTTCCATGCCTTTCTCTCCTACCCCCAAAATCTCTACTTTCATTGGAGCAGCATCTTTGGCCGCCTGTAGTGACATATAATTGGCTTGACTCTATTTTCTCCCTTTCCTTGGACCAGGTATCGATACATTTAGCTCGGATGCCTCATCATCGGGTACGTCATCATCAGCCAACAGTGACTTATAATTGGTTTTCGCTGTTGCCTCGAGAGAAACCTCAGAGGAAGAACAAACATCACCTTTCATTCAAGAAAAACAACAGCATAGTACCAAAACAATTACGAAATGAAGAGAGAAGAAAATAGTTTAACCAACATCCTCTTTAACCATGAATATAAATAGAGATTATTATAGTTCAACCGACATCCTCTTAAATTATAAATATAAAAAGAGAATAAAATAGTTCAACCGACATCCTGATTGACTAAATCCTCATATGAAAAATGAAAGAAAAACCCATGAAAGGGAACCAACTCCTAAAATTGTTTTAAAAGAATCCTTCTATTTACTCCTTATCGTCGGAGACAACTCCATGTTTTCGTTTTTTCTGGTTCTTTTCACTTCCTGCTCCATCGACAACATCAGTACGTCCATCCATAGTAGTTGCTTTGTCGCCATTGGTATCGCATTGTGCTCCATTATTTGTTGACGCCTCCTTCTCTTGCATTTGGGGAGTTTCTTCCTCATTTTTCTGCATTATATTTAGCACAAATTTTAGGTATTATAATTATTGTGCAAGTAAAAGTAAATTATCTCATCGTGTAATATTTACCTCCGCCTCATGAGCAATATCTTGCTTTTTCTCAGCACCATCAACGGCAGCGGGTACACCATTAGCAGGGTCTACTTTTTCCTCCTGCAAGTTGAGATAGAGAGAGGCATGATTAAGAAAGAACATAAAAGAACATGAGATTCGCCTTCAGCAGCCAATGCAAGCAAGTACTAAAACGAACCTTAAAGGAACAACTTACAACTACTTCAAGAGAATGGATAAGAATTTTATGAGTATAAAAGGTAGAATGTATGAATGCAGTGCTTGTGTGGTTATGAAACTTTTGTGGAACTTAACTCTTTTGTACCCCTTTGACTCGGTACCATCATTGGTGATATACAACACATCAAACCAAAGAAAACTAACACGAAAGGAATATTAGTAAAGTACATGGCACTACTTCAGCCTGTATAAGAGTGGAGAGCAGAGTAGAAGAGAACAACTACAAACAGAAAGCAATAGAATTTATGTAATAGAAAGCAATAGAATTTATAGGAGCTTTTTTGGGTTTTGTGGAAGTTGTAGAATTGGCGGAGGATTTGGGAGTGCCTTGTTGGTGTTCGATCTTTTGCCTCAAAGAAAGCTCATGGTTTATCTATGGCGTGGCGCCACTCAGATGGGGCCTCAGCCTGGTATTTTGTGAGTGTTTTCCGTTAGAGTCGTCACATAAATTTCATGTTGTTTATTGAGTTAAATTCCAAACTACTCAACTATTTCTAGAGATAGAATTGAGCCCGCCCGTTGGACGGATAAATTATATGACTGATATAAATAGTAATAACAATTGTCCGGATAAAGTTACTTTTTTCTAGACTTAAAGGTTAGGTTGGCCTCCATAACAGAGTACAACAATACCTAAAACTTCTTGAACAAAAGCGTCATTTGCATCAATAAACATGTCTCGAGGAACTGACACTGAGCCTTATCCCTAAATTTCATTCCCATACCTGAGTAACTTCAAGGAAAAACAAAGAATGGTAATTTTTTCACTCTTCTTTTAGCAGGCTAGTCTCTATGTCACAACAGGTTGTGCTCCAACCAATATGTTAACATTCACACGTAGTCTCACATTACATAAGAGGAAAAGTACGACAATAATTCACTATAATGAAAAGAATTAATTAACACAACACAATTTCATGAAATGTTATATTTATATGCTAAATATAAAATATGTTGGAGAAAAATAATGATTATTTCTAGACAAAATACATATGCATGTGTATAATCGGGCGGGTTTGGGTTGAATAGTGAGAAAACCGTGTCATCCATTACACGCAATATTCGGGTTCAGGTTTTACAAGTACCCACTAAAAATCTTTCGGGTTTGAATTTTAGCCTACCCGATTATACGGATTCGAGTGGATATCCACCGTTATGGATATTTTTATCATCCTTAATGAAACCATTGTTTTCTTTGTATATTTCTATTATTACTAAGCATGATTAGGTAAATATACAATGTCCTACTTTCTATCATTAATCGTCAATTCAATGGACCCAAGTATGACGTGTCCCCTTAATCGTCAATCTAAAACATACATGATTAGCAGTAGGGGTGTACATGGGTCGGGTGGTTCGGGTTTAGCCATTTTAATCATCCGACTCATGCACTATGGTTTAGAAAATATCAAACCTAAACCCACCAGAAAAATTTAAACCCTACGGTTTGTTTCTAAATGGGTTGGGTCGGGTTGACGATATTTTTAAGTAAAAACCCAACCCAACATAAAATATATAATTATTCTACATCATAAAAATATTTTATAACTAATTAAAATTTCAAACGAATAAACCGAGGTGAAAGTTATCAAAATTCACAAATGTTGTTTGAATTTTAATAAAATGTGATTTAGTTCAACATATGTTTAGTTTTTTCACGATATTTGTTGAAATACGCTAACAAGTTTATAAACCATAATATGTTATTCTATTAAAATTGTACACAAGAAAAAGGATTACATGAATCGTAACTATATTCAATTTATGTCTAAACTTTAAGTCGATGAATGCATCAGATTATGGAGACCATGAGAGAAATCCATGGCTAAATATCTTAATTTTCTCATAAGTATGTCTATATACGACATAAATATTTTTTAGATACGAACTCATACTAATATTTGGAACACGGGTTGGGTCGGGTTCTACGGGTTGTGTAATCCAAAATCCAAACCCAACCCAAAAGAGGCGGGTTGTACAAAATAAAACCCTCACCCAACCCAAAACCTTCGTTTAGCGATAAATACGGGTGGGTTGGGTCGGGTTGAACGGATGGGTCGGTTTGCGAGTGTGTTTGTTCACCCCTAATTAGCAGGCCAAACAGAAAAATTAATCAACAAGTTTATGCCAACTGCCAAGGATGCGGGCCATAAAAATCAACCTAGCTTGCCACCAAGGCCCGGGCGAGTCGGCGAGAGGGTTGGCCGAAACTTGGGCCTCCAACATTGGTCGGGCGGGCCTAATTCCATCTTATTCTTCACTTCATAAAAAAACGACTACGTTCTGACCAAATTACGCCGAGTAAGTAGGTGTGTAATTACAGTTACAGGCAACTCTTCTTTGATCTTTCTTCTTCCTTTGCAGCAGCAGCAGCAGCAGCAGCTCCATTATGTAATCCTGCAAGTTCAAGCTGCTGCAGCTATGTCCTGTTTCTCCATTACAAATTGCACAATTCAAACGCAAAAAGCTTCAGAGAATATGCAAAGCACAAGTTGAAACGAGTGCAATTACAGTTTATACAATATAGTGAGTAGAACTACAGCTTTAGACATTATGCAAGGAACAACAGCTGATCAATGCAACTCTTCACAAGGTAAACATCTCTTACAAACCAGTTATTCCTACAATTTTCACATGGCGTCAGAATCTGGTTCACAAGCAAGTGAAAATCATTCTCCTACATTCTGTATTCTCTTATACATCCACCCATTGCCGGTAAGATAAGTAGACAAAATGTAAATGTGCTACCTCACTGGCTTCTCATCGAGCACGCATCCAAACAATGGATTATTCTTGGCTTCGCCCCTGTCTCATTTCTACACTTTGTATTTTAGAGGGCAACATATGAAGAAGAATATCTTCGATCTTCAAATTAGACCAATAGGGCTTCCCATTCGTCGTGCTGAAGAGAACAAATAGTGGACTCCAATAGTCGGTACACACTGGTAGAGCATGATCTCTTTGATCCTATGAGTGATAGTCATTTCACAGTCATCAAGAGCAGAACAATCTAGAGAACAAATAGCTATGGAATCCCTGGAAAGTATCAAGCAAAGGAGACGTCTGGCATGCTTCCTCGACAGGACGATCGGCCCACTGTTTTAGTATAGTCTCAGCGATGGCTGCAACTTGATGTTGCAACACAGCCGCACCAAGTGGTCCTACTAAATTCAACCTGGTTGCAGCAGATATGGAATCTCTCAGTGTGATAAACAAGTAACCCCTTTGAGAAGTCTTGGGATCCATCCCTAGAAGTCCACAAATGAGGCCAAACACAGGAGCATGGTGGAAGTGAAAGTTCGAAGTAAGACATGCATCTCTGGTGGTTTTGAGAGATGGGATTTCTGTGAAAACTGATGCAGCCACTCTCATCAATGCGGATCCTTGTGAAGTAGATGCCTTCCTGCTAACCTCATTGCTTAGAGTCGCATCCAGCAGTGCGTCCAGCTTCCGCAAGTTATCTGCACTTGGATTTGTGGTGGCAGAGTGGACGAACGGAAGAAGCAGGCTGGCAGTGTTCTCCAAAAGATGAATCAGGTGGGTTCGAAGTTCGTCGGGAGTGGAGACTATACGGGCTTGAATGGCTGCTTCCAATCCGAAAGAATGAGCAAACCCACCAGTAGGGAGAATGGAATCAAGCAATTGCCACTGGCTCCAGTCCATAAGAATGCTTCTTGAATTCGTTGCTGAGTCTATTTCTATGCCACCCCCCATTGCAGATAACCAAATCAATCTGTACAAACACAACAATTAGAAAGAAAGAAAGAAAGAAAAAAAAACATTCAGGAATCACTGATGGATGCAACAGATGGAAAAAAAGTGAACGTCTTTTCCTAATTTGCTTAAGAAGGAAATCCTCAACCGATGCCTAGAAAGCGAAGCAACCAACACACACCTTTTCTACATATCTTAAAACCTACACACTAGAACTCCAAAAAGCCAATAGCTAGCAACAATATTCAGACAGAATCCAGATCGAGGAATGCAAGCAGCTCCACGATTACCTGGCTGAACTTGAGCGTGCCCTGATATCCCTGTCGATCTTGCTTCTCTTCTCTTCTCTCCAAGCTCAAGCTTTATCGAACTCTGAATCTCGAGGTTTTAGGGGAGGGTTTGGGGTTGAAATTCCGGGAAGGCAGGAGGGAAGAGAAGAGAGTAAAGGGAGGGAAGGGCAGATCGGTCGAGGAGAGAAAGAGAAGAGAGACGGAGCTTTCGAGTGCGAGCGAGGGTAGTCTCGTGGCCGCGGGGAAGAGGATGTATTTTGGCTTTTTTTTAGGTTGTCGTACTCGTATCGTATCGTATCGTATGTCTACATTTAAGTTAACTACGGTGAGTGCAAATTTCGGGGTGGGAAATAGGGCTGGAAGTTTGGTACCGGTATTTGGGATATACCGAATACCGTACCGAATTTGTCTATATTTGGTATCACCGAATACACGTATTATTTTATGGGATTGGGATTGGGATTGAATTTCAATTGTTATTCGGTATTAGGGATTACGGGATTGGGATCGGTATATACCGAAATACCGATCAATACCGAAATATAAGCTAGTGTGTATTTTATCCTCTCAACTAGACTCTCTCATTCACTACTACGCGACCCTCAACCACCAAAAGTGTCATTTAATTATAAATAGATCATTACATCACTATTTCACACTAATATTAGTCGTCTCTCAACGTCAAATTCGTCAAATTAAAGATTACCAATTACAAGAACTTGAGATGTTAGCTCTATGCAACTCAAGACTATTTGCTTAGTCTCTATGCCCTAAATTAAACAATAAAATCTAATTTATATATTTAATTATTAATTGCAAAGGTAATTAATTATGTATTCGATAATACCGATTGGGATACCGAGGTACCGATTGGGATACCGAAATTATTTAGGGATTGGGATTGGGATACCGAAATTATTTAGGGATTGGTATTGGGATTGATTTTAGGGTGTAATTCGGTATTTGGTATTGGGATACCGATACCGTACCGATTTCCACCCCTGGTGGGAAACACGGCAGCAGCAGTTTGTGAGATCTCATCGTTTGTGACATGAGAGAGATTGTGCGAGGAAAATCCAGCTGTGAGCTTTTGATTATATGAGCGGTGAAAATGAGTGATTCGAGTAGTTTGCTCGAGTTTGTGTGTCGAATTTCGATAAAGATTATTATGATTATTGGAGTTTGCTAATGGAAAACCTGTTCGAGACCAAGGAGAGAAAGCTACTGTTAAAGAACTAGAACAAGTGTAGGTTCAGTCATCGAGAAGAGACTTCCAAGTAGTGCAGATGAAGGAGGGTGAATCTGTTAAAAGAAATTTTGCTCATTACCTTGCCTACAACATACAATTGACTGCGCTCTGCAAAGAACAGTGCCAATATTGCGAGGAAGGTAAAGGTAACGGGTGCACGTAACGTGAAACTAGTTGATGTACAAAGTGCACAATTCAAGTGTACAATACTACAATTACAGTTTATTACACAAATATATTGGCGAGTACAACAACAGCTTTAGTTAGACAATATGTGAGGATCAACAGCTGAGTCACGCAGCCCATGGCCAGCAACTCCTACTCGATCCACATGAGGAACTTGTTTGGATCCTGCTCTTATACATTCTACTACCATAAAATTCACTCTAGTAGACAACCGCAAAGTTCGAAAAGGAAAAGAAAAAAGCCTAACCTCACCTGTAAGAGTAAGACGTTCCCCCCAAGGCTTCAAGAATTATCATAAAATCAAAGTTAAGAAACCAGACGTTCAAAAGAGTTAGGGGACCATTCGAATAAGCACGATAGAAGTCCCATCATTCCCGTTTCCATGGGGTGAGCAATGTCCCTTTCGCGTCTGTGCAGTACTCTTACAAACTCCTTTGAGCATAGATGTCCATCACGGTCAATGTCAAACACATGGAATATGATATCGACCACATTATCAGATAGTGGAATGTTCCAAACCTGGCCAATGACAGATCAAATATTAGGTTAGCGTAAGATGGAAAGCTCCAAACAGATGAAGCAGAACAGAATTATCTTTGTAACATAAAACAGGGTTTAAGTTTCAAATACCTGAGACGCAGCTCGTTGGAAATCCTCCTTGGTTAGAAGGCCATTTACTTTCCCGTAACTGAAAAGAGCCAAAGAGAATGGCCTTAGCTGCTTACGCAACTCCGCAAAGTTTTTGAATTCCTCGAAAGTTATTTGCATCTCCCGAAGGTTCACGTCATTGTCTAAATTCTCCACCCGACCAAGTAACTTGTCTAAATGGCCCAAGTCAGCAGAAGCCACCATGGAAAATGCAAAATCCTTGGCCAATAAGGTCCCTCGTGATTTGTAGTCATAGTGAGCAAACTCCAGTCTCAATATCTGATAAAGTAAGCAATAAACAGTCTGTGATCACTTGGAATAGCCATATAAAATCCAGAGAAAGAACTGTTCGAAATATTAATTGATTCCAGAAAGGCTAGAACCATTCTCACCGCCAAAGGGAGAAGCAAAGTAACAACAGGCTTTAATAGACAAAAGAATCTTAACATTGTTAATGCACTTTAGCATATTGTTTTAATGAGGACAATACATAAAACCAAAGGAAAGAACAAATTACTAGGACATGCTAGATGATTAAGATCACATCAAGTAAAAGCATCATGCAGATAGCTCACTTCAATTACATTAGCACTTCGGCACTAGGTAGATTTCACTTTCTGCCACTTAAACCCTCACATACAGTATAGAACACGAGGAAAAATGTTTCATCCTGGCAGCAAAAGAAACCCACGAAGCAACGAAACTATATTAAACCACAAAGCGAGGCTAATTTCTAACAGTTTCAGTTCCAAGGGAGAAGGCAAAATATTCTGAAGTTTACCTCATCCTGTAAATTCGTCATGAATTGCATGAAGTTATCACATTGGAGCCGTTTAGTTCCATCACTGCCAAAGAAGTAGTCCACCAAACCTCCATTCTCCACACAACCACTAACCTTAAACCCTGTCCTTAGTCCATCCTTATGTACTGCAACTTGCCTGTTATGAGCTCGCATCAATGCCATCACTTTCTTAAACTCTTCCTCGTCGATCTCCCTACATCAGGTCACTCACCGAGTTTCAGGACACTAATAAAACACGATTCTCCAAATTCAATCTAGACTGTTACCATATTCATAACACACCATGTCGCCGTATTCAAACCAAGAGAATGGCAGCATGTACCTACCCGCTGTTGTCAATGTCGAACATCTTGAACGCCACAGAGAAACTCGATTATGGAATACTGAGCAGCGTTACGAAGAATATATACCTGTCGCGAGGAACAATCGTAGAAAACACCATTTTCAACGCAGGGTGAGAAGGTTACCAAGCAACTCTCAATTCAAACATACAGAAGAAGAGCAATGTACTGTGAAATAAGAGGAAACGCACTCTTTGAAAGAGATAAGGCCATCATTGTTCACATCAAAAAGCATGAAGAACTCAGAAGGAGCACAGCGCAATTCCCCGGGGCTCCTTTCCCCTGTCAAATAGCCTTCTCTAATTAGGTTGGATTCGGATGGAGGGAAAACGGGAACAACTGCTCGCATCAAATCATCCGCCGTCATGAACAGTTCTCCATTCGGAGCTTTGTGCGACGCGAAATACTCGAACACCTTCACCAGAAATGAATGCTTCTCTCAATTTCAATCTTAAGATAACAGTCGGTGTAATATTTCATCAATTGCAAAACCAGAAATCGCACCTTCTCCGGTGGACTCCGCAGCCTTATTCGTTTCTCGTACTTGAAGAAAACCTTTCTCCTGTACGAATCTAAACAAAATCGATCATTACCTCTTTTGAACTCCAATATCATTGATGGCAGCAATAGTTAAGCAACTGGTGGCCAATGAAAAACTCACCTCCGACGAGGAATTTCGATTTATACTCCGGTAAAGAAAGTTTATGAAACAAGGAGGATTTTGGACGATAGTCGCCGACGGAAGTAGCTAGAGTTTCATCGCCGCACGCTACAGCAGTTGACCGGTCAAAGAGGGACGACAGCTGCGTCTTTAAGAGATGAAAATCGGTGTGATCGGGATCAAGAGGCGGTGACCAGTAGTATAATCCGCTGAAACTTACGGCGGATGCGGCGGCGGAAATCCACTTGAGCAGGGATCTATTCCCTGGATTCTCGTTAAGCGGAGAGTTAGAGGAAGCGCCGGAACCAGCGGTGTCGGCCAAACTCAGTGTAGACACGGAGGAGGACGGCGCAGGAGAGCTGGAGAGTTGGCGATAATGAAGACCGGAGATTTGACGGAGTGAGTGTGAAGATCTTCGGAGAGAAGGTAAAGGGGCTGGCATGGCGATCGGCGAGGATGAGAGCCGGCAGTTGAGGGAGCTGGAGAGGGGAAAGGGAGAAGAGACTTGGCGGTTAGCGATCATAAATGCATAGGTGAGATGACAGTTCGTAAGTTGAACCCACGAGTCCGATAGGCCATTGGAGCTAGTAGCAAAACGAGGACTAGCCTCTAGCATTTAGCAACATGTAATGTAACGGTTAATAAATGGTATATATGATTTACAATTGAATATCTTTCAATAACTCGAGTAAGTAGTGGGAGTAATTGGTTATTGATATGATATCAGAGCCTTCTGTAATCGAGAGGTCTCCCATTGAGAGAGATTCAGTTATGAATTATATATCGTTTATTAACACACCCCCTCAAACTCAAACAACTCAAATAAACTTGAAATTTGCACATACACAGATCTGAACACCATGTGTTTAACTAAAACAGATGAGGTCATACAGACCAAGCAACATTAAATCCTAACCTAGTTCCAATTCGATTTCAAGCACCTGATGGGCCCACGTGGTTGAACGGAATTAGGCCTGAAGCCCAAGAAGGAAGGTTAGTCCTTGTCTGTCTTTCTTTATGTCGTTATTTCCTTCGGTTGGTTCGGAGAGCTATGCTTAGGCCCAACCCAATAAGGGAACCGATGGGCGGGTTGTGATGTTAGGCGGCCGCTCGTCGAAAAGACAGGAAGGACCGCCTGACATAAAGCAGTGATGGAGACAGGAGGAAATCGACTAAGATCCACCTCGTTATAAATAAGACCAAGCATTAATTACCGTCGTAGACGGTTCTGTACGAAATATGGTAGGTTAAGGGCGCCTGACATGGCATTTAATGCCCTGAACCCATCCCTAATTGAGTATAAATACCCATGAGACCATTGATGGTAAACTCAACTACTTTCTCTCTCTCTCTCTCTCTCTCTAAACCTAACACATTCTTTCTTCTCTCTCTAACTTAATCTTCGGAGGGTGTCGTGGGCAACTGCCCACAGACCCTTGTTTTGCAGGATTCACGAGTGCATTCCCGCACCAAGAATTGGCACTTCACTCGTGCTCTACACAAACCGCTTAGTTCTTTCTAGGCTCAAACAACACCAAACTCAACAAATACGTGGAAAATTATCAATCTTTTCCCAAACTCTATCATCAAAACCCAAATATGCCCCCTACTTACTGAAATATACATCACCACATTAAGCTCCCAAAAAAGAATCCTCAAAAAACACTATTTCATTTCATTCAGGTCTCCTTGATCTTTCCACCTTCTTCCACCACCTCCTGATGAGCTGCCCTTTGTTCAGCTTCATGATGATTATCCTGCTTTCTACCAACCCGGTGCCGCCTTTCTCGGTCGTAGATAAGCTAGAAGATCAAAGACAAGATAACTGCAGTGGAGACTATCACGAGGCCTACATAGATCTCCATGTTGTACTTCCTCGGTCCAGGACAATGCTCCCTGTTTATCTCACTGAACGTCTGCCTAGCAAATGAGCAGTCTTCTAATATCAAGAATGGTGCGCAGTTGATCAGTCCATAGATAACGTTGATTGCAGCTTCCATTTGACTGTATATAGTTGGTGTCAATCGCCCCGTGGTTTCACATATTCCTGCTGCTGAAACCTAGCATACATAGTTGCTCCACACCCGAGGAACACACACGTAACACACGTAATGTGATTCAATATAAGAATTTTACATAGAGTTTAAGAGAGTTTGAGTTTTGATGAGGCTTACCTGTGTGGCATTGTTGAGATCGACTTCGCTAAGGCTGCAGACGCGACCGATCAAGTCAGCATGAAACGGGTTGCTGAGGATTAGGACCAAGGGACCGGATTGGTTGATGTAGAGTGGCTTGAAGTTTGGGGAGAAGTTGATGTTGGACATGTTGGTCATCACTTGGTTCACTACCTCGGCTAGTTGGGAGGTGACTTCCTTGCTCTTCGCCAAGGTTTCAAGGGCAGTTGTGGTGTCGACAGAGGGCAAGATCTCATCTAGTGCGGTGTGAGCTGCCGGGTTTTGAACCCATTGATCCATTGCAATGCAAGCATCGCCTGCCACATTAGAGAGTAGGTTGACACAACAAAGAACGTAAGACGAGCATTAGGATGATAGGAAATTGGCATGGCTAAATAGATTTGGGGATTGGAATGAGACCTTACTTGTGAAGAAGAAGAAGAAGAAGAAAGAATATGCCACACATGATAAATGTGCCTGCAACAAGTATCAATCCTAGCACAACTAGGCTGCAAAAGGCATTTTAATTCAAAAGAGTTTAACTTTGAGTTCAGATAAAGAAGACAGAATGGGGTTACACCATGAGCATCATACTTACATGTATACCAGCAACTACATACCAAATATTGAACGCTATGTTTGGGAATGGGGTAAATGGGAGGGGAGAGCAAGTTTGGGGGTAAATGCACTTTCCAAAGCATTTGCCCCCCATTTGGATGATTATGAATAGTGTAGGGGTGCAATTAGGGGGGGGGGGTAAATGCACTATTTGGGTTTTTTTCTCAAATACTGTATCTTTAAAAAAATACTACCCACAATACAGCATTTGTAAAAATATTTCCAAATCTATTGTCTATAAAGGCAAATTGGGGCAATGACGCCCCAATTTGTTTAAAAATAACCAATAACCATAGCGCACACGCCCCAATTCGATTCAAAATAACATTAAAACCCAATTGAGGCAAGAATAAGTCGGATTGAGGCGCGGGAACCCCAATTGGGCTTATTGCCTCCTCAATTGGTCTTTTTTAATGGGTACATTCTACCTCCTCTTTTTCTGTCGTCATGGTTCTCTCAGGCCAGCTGCAACAATTTTGGCAGTGCCATTATGACACTTAATTTGTTGGGTATAGGGCAATCCCAAGTCCTAACCTAACTATTTTGTCCCCACCACCATCATAAGTCCACTCCAATCATCATTGTTAAGTATAACTAGAGTACCATTAGTAGAAAATGTGAGAATTATAGATCTAATATATTGATTTGATCTCATGTTGAAGTATATTTAGTAAAATACAGTATGAAAAAGTTACGTATAAAATACGTACGAGTATTTTACTTTGTTTTTAAGCTAATGTTACGTTTAATAGTGCGTTATAGTCATAAATGTATAAAATCTATTATTTTAAAAACAATAAATATATAAATAATGGTAAATTTAACAACTTAATTCATTAAATATGAATGTTAAACGTTTTATACGGAGTAATGACTCGCTCGGAACTACACTGCGAATTAATCCCAACTAGAGCCCAAGTTTTTAAACTCTAGCCGGGTGCAGTATAGGGCAAGTATTTAAATTGTCAACCCCGGCCGATACATGTACCCCTACTTCAATCGCTTACGGTGTTATCTAGCAAAACGGTTTTGGGTTTAAAATTAAGAAAACTACAAACTAAATAAGCAGGGAAATTAAATGGAGGAGAATTCTACTTGAGAGAGCTTCAACCGGGTATTGCTCCCCCTAGTCTCATGCTAAGAAGCGACAAACAAAGCTCTAGTATGAAGGACGTGTTCATACACCGCTGCGTGGGCGCAATTAGTTAGGGACAAACTCCCTTAGTTGATCAATGAAGGGAAATCAACAAATATAATCTAGGGGGACTAGCTCTCTTAACCGTTAGGTCAAGGATTGTGATTCATAGCTAGAGAGTCTAGTCGTCTTTATTGATCAACCAAGGAGATCCCTAAATCTCTCTTAGTTAGCTAATTGAGAGTTGTTGCAACAAGTTAGGAAGCTAACTCACTTAACCTTTCGGCTAAGGGTGACAACGATAGGCTAAGGAACCTAACCCTCTCAACTAGCCAGCAAAGGATTGCAAATCAAACCCTTAGAACTTAATCCGGTCGGCAGAGAGACCCTATCCCAGTGGAATCACGATCCTACTCCGATATTTGAGATTTTGGTCTTAAATTGACCTAAAGGAGGTTACCCAAGTGGCTAAGGAGTCTAGCTCCTAATTGGACCAAGAGTGGATTTCCACCCTCTAGGTTAATTTCACCCGGTATTGAGTTAAAGCTAGCACACTTAATCATTCATGAATAATACCTCAAATATTATATAAACCACTCAATCAACACAATAGGTTCATGTTCTTGCAACCTAACACATAGAGAGACTAGGGTTCAAAATACCCAACTGAGTAGGTAGGCTATTCCATAGCTAAACAAGAGAAAACAAAAAAAAGGGAAGAAATAACTATGAAGTGATGTCAATCTTTCCTCCTTGTTGCTTGAGACACCCTTGAGATGATGAAATCTTCAATCCTCTAGCTAGGAACAAGCCCAAAGCTCCTTCTTCCTCCTTTGATTTTCACTTTCTCACTCTATAAGAAACCCTAGCCTCTCACTAGAATTCTCTTTATTCTGAAAATGAAAACGCAACCTAAAATGAAGCTCCTTTTCTTCTTCCTTTCAACTCTCCCTTTACACTGAGATCGAGATGAGTTCACGGCCTTCCAAATCACGGCCGCGAACTCCTCAACGCGTCCGTGAACTCGGCGTGCTGTGTCAAAACGCACTGCTTCACTCACTTGAGTTCACGGTTTGCACTCAAAGTTCACGGTCTTGGTGACCATGAACTCTTGCGGCGTCAGTAACCTCAGAAATCGCCATAGATGCTTTGCGGTTCACGGTTTATGGCTCCAGTTCACGATCTTAGGAGACCGTGAACTCCAATGATGAACTGTGAACATGGCCTGAAATCTGGACGACTGCACTTCACTGTTACAGGGCAATTGTCATGGTGACTTTGGATTTTTTTTCGGTTTTTGCGCTTTTTGACCTCCAATCGTCACGAAACTCGTCCTTGACCCTTCCACACGTGCTAGGACCTGAAATGTATCAAACAAGCACAACCTAGCGTGAAATATGTCGAGGGACGATGAAATGCAAAGCCAAACTATCAAGAAATGAGGGGTAAAATGTGTACATTTGGACCCCAATCAAGTACATATACGTGTATTAAACGGAGTATTTACTAACTATGTGTTGAACAAAGCGACTCATTTACTATTTATCTATAGTTCGATTCTTAATTTAATATATGTATATACGAACGTATGTTTTTTTATGTATTTAAAACCGATTTCCAGATAAGGTGTGTGACGCGGTATCCTAAAGCTCAAAGTCTAACCCCTTGACTGTGTGGATTAAGATCGGGGGCCTATGAAAAACAGGTCGATTTCCATCCAGTATTATTGACAACCCATTTTATCATTTTTAGTTTATACGATGGCTCTCATACTAAACACATAAA